AAAAAAAAATCAGCTAAAAATATTAACTGGATCAAAAGTTATTTAAGTTGTCAGTGAGTGGTGGGCCACCTGTATATCCTGATTAGTTGTTCTTAGATTTAAAAGTATAATTTATGAATAATTATATATTATAGCAATTAAATAGAGAATGAAATTGATGTTTAATCATTTAGTATTGTAATTTTTACGGAGAAATTATAAAAAATTATTAAGTAATACTTAATAAGTATACAGAAACATAAGATAATGGTGTAAAATTTTTTTAACATTTTAGTGACCCCCGATTGCAAATTAATAATATATACAGGGTGTTTATACAGCTAATTGGTTTTTTATGACATCGACATTAGCAGGTACAAAGTATTGTTATTATCAATGGTAGTAAAACACATTGTTGTGAGTTTATAAATACACTTACTGACAATACAGAATGTAAATCTAAAGATAGTCATAATTGATAATAAACAATCCGTGACTGTGATAGCAATATCATAAAAAATCAATTAGCTACCTGTATTGTAATCCCTTGTATATCATATATATTAACTCAAAAATTTGAAACTAAATGTTTATATCTAATAAACAAATTAAGTTTCATTAAAAATTCAAATGTCATATACTATTGAATTAAAAACTCAAACATTTTATTAAATTAAAAATACGTGTTACCATTTAAAAAAACAAAGTTGACACCCTTACCAGGCATAAGGGATGAACTTAAAAAGTATTACATAGTTAATAATTCAAGAATAATGTGTAACTTAAGATAAAAAAAAATGTTTTAATTATTATTATTCTGTAAGTAATTAAGTGGGTTATGATAAAAAAATCACCCTGTATATTACTTTTATGGCAAACATGTATAAAAGTTAAAGGGCTTGATATAATACTTTTCAAAAAAAAAAAATTGTTTGTTACTTATAAATAAATTTATTGGTCTACAAAGAATTTTCATCGGAGACCAAAATATACTTTTCTAAGTCCATTTTATGCCTATTTTAAATCTGCTATTAAAGTTTCGCATATGGCCTAAATAATAACTAAATCCTTCTAATTAATATAACAAATATTTTGTTTGATAATTATGTTACGTGAATAATCAATAAATATATCTTATTATATAACAGAACAAGGAAAAAACACTTTTTTGGGAAAATTACTAAGCGTGCTCGAATTTTCAAAAAATTTTTTTCCAACAAAAGTACTGGGTCACCAAACTACGGGAAAATTATTGGGGAAGGTCAGAAATTTTTGCCGCTCACCCGCGAGCGTTTTAAAATTTCGACCGTTTTCGAGAAAAACGCTCGCTGACGCCAGCGTTTTACGACTTAAGGTTTGAAATTTTCATCAGACCCGCCTAATGACATTCCTGAGATATGATAAAAAAATCAATTCAATCCGTTCATTTTTCACCGTTTTATGAGATTTTTTTCTTTTTTTTTAAGTCTACGCGCATGGTTTTAATATGCGCATTNTTTTTTTTTAAGTCCACGCGCATGGTTTTAATATGCGCATTGATTCATTTCTGCTCATACGTTTACTATGAACCTTAATTATATGATGTAATTTATTAGGACACCATTTTGCATTTGCACATAGCACTATATTTTATCGAGGAATATTATATGTTATATATAAATATCAATGCGGTTATAATTATATAAGTTTGTACTTTCATTATCAGAACAGAACATTATTAATAATCTTTTTTTTCTCATATATGGTATATGAGTTTGTCAACACATAAAGGTATATAAAGTTTATCATTTAAATTGGGATTATCTATGACAACTATGCTCCCTAACGTTAAATCACAGTTACCAATATTTTTATCAAAATTAAATTTTTGACATAGTCCCACGTATAATAACTTGCTGAATTATTTTGTAATTATTCTATCATATAAACACAATTATCATAATTAGAATATTAATAATTTTTGTGTATACCAAGAGTGTATTTAAGGGAGATATTGGCCTCCCTTGAACCAGCGATATCAATATTTT